CTCCTCAAGTCGTGACGTTTTGTGCCTCCCCGTGCTCCATTCTGCAACTGCTTTGTGAAAAATTACAAGAAAGTTGCTCTACATTAGCAAATAGCTTTTAAAACCAGAGCTCTCTCCTGGGAATATGGTCCTAATAGGATAGAGACAAGGCTAAGTTGCTGAATGCTGCTGGTCATTATTCTTTTGTTTCAGCTCAAAGAAAACATGCACAAATCTCATAACTAGACTCCCGGGCATGTGTTTTTGCTTACTGCCTAATGTGGTTCTAATAATGCAAACATTCCAGCTAAGTAATGATGACACATCTACAGCTATAGATATTAGAAGCTTACGCAAGGGAAACATTTGGGGAAACACAAAGTAAAAAATACAATAAATGTTTTATTTCAATTTTCTTGTTGCCCTCATATTTAAACTCATTCTGGCCTCTGTTAACATGAAAAAAAAAGTGGACTCTAAAGAAATATGAACTAAAAAGGAATTCAAGGAGTACGTGCTTCTAAGGGCCTTGAAATGTACTTGATTCAGACTTAAGCCCTTCCTTTGTGGATACACGTTGATGAATTGGAGAGTAAATGTTTTTGGAATTCTCTTTAGCTATATCATTCATTGCCGTCTCAAACATGTGTCAATAATAAATTCCTTGTGTAAAAATAGGAAAATATACTTCACCATTTCTTCATGTTTTTGTTTAATTTAATCATTCTGAGGAGACTTGGATGCCAGCCTTTCCAGGGGTCAGCTCCAACTGAGACGCCATCATATAAGAGGAGAGTATTAGATGTTGGTTGGTTTCATTTTACTCTTTGGCGAACAGCTCCCAAATTGTACCTCTCTCATTCACAGTGTCGTGGTTTAGGTGGGAGTGGTCCCGCTCTTGGAGAGTGCTTATGCCAATCAGCACATCTTCCTGCTAGGACTCAGTGTTTGGTAAGAGGGTGAGCACATGACCCTTTTAGGGCCAGGAGACATGACTTCACTGCTTGCAGATACTGTTGGTGCCAGGAGTGAAGCCTCGTCTGAAGATGATGTCACATGGAAGACAGAAGAGCTGAGAGGATAGCAGAACAGGGCATGATAACATCTGGATCAAACCTCACCTGAAACCACCATAACTTTTGAATTTCCACTTACCTGAACCAAGAAATTCCTTATTTATTTAACTTCACCTGAGTTTCATTTACTTGTACTTGAAGTCAAAGATTCCTAAAAGATACAGGAAGAATATGTTCCAGAGTTCTTTGCAGGGTACAGTCCTTAAACTGTGAAGTTAAGAGCTTTCAAGAACTGACTGCAGTCTTTTCCCCATCTTCTTTTCCCAATCCAAACTTTCTGGTCCCATCGAAATAGTCACGCATCTACATCTTTGTACGTGAAACTTCCTGTGTCCAGCAGACCTCTTATCCTCATAGACCCACATCATGTATCACTTCTGATGTGACATTTCCATCAACCTTCTCCAGCACCTTGCCCCCTGGGTTACCAGAAAACTTTGTCAATACCATTAGGCTGGGACTTCTCACTAAATTGTTTACACAGCTCCTTCTCCCCCTCATGTGTTGTAATAACTGTCACTGTGTATGGAACACTATTTTTGGCCAGGAACATTGTATGTTGTATGCTAAGCCTCTGAATGCACCTGTTCGTACAGAAGAGGAAGCAGCGATGAAAGACAAATGGCTTCTCACTTTCTCAGAAACAGAAGATAGCAGAGTAGCTTGAAGTTCACTTGATTCCAGAACTACTGCTTTTTTCCCTTCATCATGAAGGACTGGGTCCTACTCATTCTCCATTTTTCAAACGTCCTCAGTGTCTAAACTGTTAAGCTCTAAAAATCCAGTTCCCGTTCTGGGTGTGGCATTATTGCACCCCTGTTCCTGGCACTTTACCCAGCATGAAACATTAAATAAATATTTATTAAATGAATTAACTAGTAGATAATAAACAGCTTTTGCTCTTGCAAAAGCTGAACATTTTTGGATGGCCTTTGATCATGAGCCAGAGCCAAACTCCAAAGCACTGCCAAACTCTACTGAAAAAATGGGTGATGTTGGTTCCCCAAAGACTGGTGGAAGTAGAGAGGTACATAAAGTCATTGATGCTGCTAGAAGTACCACTGAAAGGCTGTGTGACCATGGGTAGTCTGCTAAACCTCTCTGAGCCTTTATTTTCTGAGTCTTTATTTTCTGATCTGTTAAAAAGAAGATAATTTGTTTATAGGTCATAATGAGGCTGTAATGAGAATGCAGCCAAGGTATACACCATATAATGAAGACTCCATGACATTGAAAAATAAGTGATTAATAGCCTACTAATAATAGGCAAGAACATGTTTGTAAAATAATTTAAAACAGAACCCTTATTTTAATAATAGAGATGAGCATATTCATCAATCATCTGAAATCATTCTCTGCTATAAGAAAAATAGGTCAGAAGTTTTGAAAATGTCCTTTACTTAAGTTTTGTCATGCTCAGTACTAAGATAAAGATAGATTATTACTGCACCCAGATCTGTAGCTTATGAAGTGTTCACTGTTGTTAAGTAGAGAATATGTGTTATTTTATTTAAATAATTTTCCTATACCCACTTCTCACTCAAATCAAGATAGTTTAATCAGTAAAAAATGAATAATTTGAATTTTTGATGATTTAGCAAAATTTAGATTACCCTGTTGTTTGATCTTCAGATTGTTTCACTGAAGATACTTCTCCCCTCTCCTCCCCAGTGAAAAAAATATAATTCAATAGTGGCAAAGTCATTGAAAATCATATTCTGAAGTTTAAAGCATTTATTGTGTAACTTGATATGCTTAAAAACATTTTAATTAAAAACCTATTAATTTGTTCTTTCAGTTTTAAATTAGATTCACAACTCACAAGTGCTAAGGCACCTTTTTTCTTAATGGATAAGTTAGACGTATCAAATATTTATCCAACAGATGAACAAGGGGAAACGGGAAATTAGAATATATTATTAGATGTTTTGTCAACAAGGATTTATGTGGTACTAGAATGCTAAAAGTTTCAGGATGCTACTTCTGTGATATCGGTAGCTAGATTTAAACTGAGCATCCACCTGGGCATTTGTTTGTAATTAGAAATGTATCTAATGAAAAATTTTCATGTCAAAATGTAAGAAGGTGGTTTATACAAGTGTGTTCTTTGCAGGAAGTCGAGCTGGACTTCTTCAGTCCAGCCAAAATCAGAAAGCACTATAAATCTCCCTAGAAAACAAGTTTATAAACTCAAGTTATATTTAAATAAACATTCTAAGCTAAATTGCTGGACTGAACCCTAGAATATGTCCAGTTTTTCTTATCACTGCTTTCTGGTGCTGCATGTAATTCAATGGGATTTGGTAAATTTTCTTGAAATGCAGTGGCAAAATTACTTCAAATATCTATGAAACGCCTTTGATTAAAAAAAAACCAACAAACAGAACGGTGTTACTCTGATTAAACTCTATTAACCAATGTTTAATACTATCTCGTTTTTTTCTCCATCTTCTATTTGTGGTTGTCAGGAATTTCTCGAAGTATAGTGAAATAGTCACTTGAAGACCTTACAGATCTCCTTGGGTTTAAAAAACAAAAGAAAATATTATTCTGACTAGACTTGATTAATTGATACGTGATTCTGACCCACATCTATCCTGTACCCGTTTTTGTCTGGTTCTGTTACTGGCCAAGATTCATACATTAACCACTGGTTTAAATAAATACGCAGCTCTTTTAAATTGTCCACAAGGCGGCAGTAAAACATCTTGCTTCTCCCCAATATCTTGAATTCCTAAGTCTTCATTTTCTAAATATTTAGATTTTATATTTGCCTGAATAACACTAAAAACTCTTCTACCTTCAAGTTGATACTTTGCCATTCAAACAGAATGCATTAGTAAATATGAGCTGGTCCTAATGATACCCAATTAATTTTCCTTAAAATAGATAAATCAAAATCCTGTAAGTTTTGATAACATAAATTGCCTATTTATGTTGACAAGCAGTACTCCTTTCCTGTTTTTCAGGGTTACAGTGAGTCCGTGTAAATTTTCTAATAAGAGAAGTTCTATTTGAGCAACGTTAATAAGTTTGATGTATTTTTTTCCCTCTTCCTAATCGTATTATGTGATGATGGCATTCGCATGTGATTTTTCTGCTCAGAGTTTTCAAATAAAATGTAAAATTGGATGCTCCCACTTGTTTAGCAGATGCCCGACAAATCATTGAAGTACAGTAAAAAAAAAATGCACTTTTAATAGGTTTCCTTTACAAGTGAGATGAAATCATCTAATGATAGCATGGAAAGCCCAGTCGGAACTGCTGTAGTAAGTTTCCTACCCTTTATGGGTACCGCCAACTCTCTTGTCAGTGCTGTGGCTTACTTGGTATTTTCCTGGGTTGGAGACTATCTTCCATGACCTCACGTGTCAAGCAAGTGAAGGATACCTTGGAGCTCGTGCCGCATACAGGAGAAAGGGGATGGAGGACTGTGGGGCTGGGTGACCTTGCACTGTTCACTGACCTGCTGCTGCCAGAACAATGGTTGCCCTGAGGATGAGAGGCTGCCAAAGGCATCTCTGGAATAATAAGTCATCTGAGTAAATGCCTACCATTCCTGAGAAACAGACAGGTGTGCATGCATCACAGAAAGAGAGAGGAGAAGAAAGAGAAAGAGAGAAAGAGAGGAGATGCTTTCACGATATAAATTCTAAATGTACTTCAATGTAGGAGATCAGAGCTGCAGTCTTCATGCTGTCTGCATGCCTGTGAAAGCTGCAGGGAACTTGGCCGGGGCAAGACTGTAAGATTGAGTCCCGCATTTTGCAATGCAGGCATAGCATGTTAGCGTGTGTGTCTGTGTGTGTGTTTGCAGTACCAAAGCAAATTATGTATGTATTGTCTTCTTATTGCAAAATGCAAGGAAGTCGGTCATGGAGCGTAAATACTCAGACATGCACACACAGGTTCCGTTCTGTCCACTGGCTCATTTAACATATGCACTGCCTAATGCCTTTAGAATTGAGCATTGTTTTGCCCATCATAAAAGACATGAAGTTCATAGCGATTTGTGCCTTCAGAAGGATGGTTTTCTATTTAAAATACTCTAAATTAAAACATACATCACCCACAGAATGCTTGATTTTTGAAAATACATATACTTTTGTAACTAGCTCCTCTAGGAAAATGCGCTGAATGATTTAATTTCATATTAAGGTGCAAATGTAGTACTGGTTTTGTGTCGAGACACACGTGTTTTGTGACTGCAAGCAAAGCTTTCTGAAAGATTTTCACCACCAGATTCAAAACTACCGAATTCGACATTTGAGAGTAATGACAGGGTTCTCTTACTTTAAGAAAAGCGCAATTGATTTTAGACATACTGAAACTCAAAAGTTTTAGAAGTGTGTTTGGGTGAAGGTTAAGTCGTCCTTGACAGTATTAAAAGAAAGGTTTGAATTGTTGAATAACCACCTTTCACCCATCCCTAATTATAATTTAAATGACAATATGCTCTCAATCAATAGCTCTTTGTCACATTTGGAAGATCAGGGGATGAGATTTCACCCCATGAGTTTACCAGGCAAAAGCTCCTTGTTCATAACACTGAAACGTTGCATTAGAATCTCTCTACTCCAACAGTTCATCCTAGATAAAGGCTTTTAAATCGTACCCTATAGATGTTACTCTTAGAAAATGCCAAAAGTCTTTATTTTTGTAATTTGCTCCCAGAGAGATATCATAATAAAAATGTTAGCCCATTAAAAAAGCCAAGTTATCCATATTCGAATTTCACTAGTTAAACTTGAGTCATTTCATCCTAACAGCTAACCTTCTGAGCGTTTACTATGTTCTGGGCATTGCGCTAAATAAACACCTTAAATTAAATTTCTTTATTGTTTTAAGTCAGCCTCTGAAGTAGAACCTAATATTTATTTCCGTTTAACAGATGAGGCTCAGAGAGATTGAGTCACTTTGACCTCTTGTCACGCAGCAAAGAAGGGAAGAGCTTTGACACAATAAATTCTGAGTGTACCTCTGAGCACTTAACAAGCCTCTTCAGCATTTCATGGGATGAAAATTCATCGTGACTGAACACAACTGCTTCTTTTTCCCCAAATCTCTCTCTCTCTGGAAGTTTATAAATATATCCTAAGCAGTTTGCTTATGTACTATTATAATGTAAAACTGCGTTTAGCACTTATAGGATATGCTTTATACATAGAAACAGGCACTTCTCATTTTCTCTCCTGCTTTCCAAGTAGAATGCATTCTTCATACGCTGGCATGTGTGTTGCATTTTATTATTATGTTCATAGGATGGTACCAAATTTCCAGTTGGGTTTGGCTGCGTCTCCTTAAGCTTAGATGAGACTGAGCTTGTAGTTTTCAGGTAGTAACTGATAAATTCATAGTTAGCTCTGAACAGACAGGACCTCTGGCCATCAGGTCCTCAGTTCATTTTGAAGATTCCAACATCAGCGTTACTATATGACCAGATAATTGTCATACACTTGTTAAGAAATTTCCAATTTGAGTTGTTTTTCTACTGGTGTCGAGGCTAATGATAATAATAATCACTGTTTTATGTTAAGTGTGATTTTTTTTAGACTGGAGGTGGAAAGAGACAGACCAAGGGCCAAATCACATCCTAGCACAGGTTCTCTCTAGACTAGCCAGTTGATCTGGTATGGTTCTAAAATACAAATTACTGGGAAATTTTTCACATGAAAATGTGTATTTTTTTATTTTCCTTGGGGAAAAAAAATCCCCTTGGAAAATAAGAAAATCTGGAAATACTAAGCTAGATTCCAGCCAAACAGAAGTTGGCTGCTGTGCATCATGAGCATCCCTCCTTTTGATGTCCCTGTTTTTTTCCCTGTCATGACTGTCCCTACCAGCCCGATGTTATTCTTACACCAGAACAGCTTCTCTCATTGAAATGACCGGAATACAGTTATTTTTGGAATCCATGTACAAAAAAAAAAAAAGTACCTTCCACTTACTATACAATGTGTCCCTGAGGTAGGTGTCATTATACCCATTTCACAGATGAAAAAAGAACTCAGAGATGTGAAGTAGCCATGTAACGCCACAACGTAATAGGTGGCAGGGCTGGGATGCTACCTTGTAGCATAGCTTGTGTTTTAACTTTGTTGTTGACTGAGGCATTCACTCCTCCATGCAGACCCTTCCGCTTCTAATTAGCAAAGCACATGTTTAGGGAAGCCATCCAGGACTGGGGATGCACTGGGGGACTAACATGTGCTCACTGATGTCCTGTTTTTGTCTATCATAAGAATGCCAGGGTTGTTCTCAGGGTGTGGCTGGGAAAACAGTACACATTCACAGTAAGAACATCTAACTTAGATAACTTCAGCTTTACAAGATTGGCAACAACAACCCCCCAAAAAGGCATGGGGGAATTAATTTCAATAGTGCCAGTCTTTCCACCTGCCACTCCATGCTGGCGTGAGAGTGCGGTGGGAGGTGGCAATCTGCTGTTCCCTCAACTGGTCTTGGCTGTCTTGCTTTGTGAGTCTGTTTAAAGATAAGTATTTAGCCATCATCATCATTTCATTAATATTATCTTAATATCAAACATTTGCGATTTTAATACCACCACAGAACTAGAAGCATGAGATATTTGGCAATTCCATAATAACTCCTTTGCTGGACTTTGCATTACGTCTTTACCTCTCCAAAGGCTAGATCAGATGTTTACAGTTAGTTGTCCCTGGGAAGTTGATGTCTTGGGATGCTATGCTTGGAGCATTTGAATGTCATCTTTATTCACTCAGGCCACCTAACTAACAACAGACAGAAGCCTAATCAAGTAAGATTTCACAAAATGAATGTGAGAGAGGGAGAGGCAACTAGAGTTACAAGGTCACAAGGTGCCTGGGCACTGGTTGGACAGAGCCAAGACTGTTGAGAGAAGCTTAGACGAAAGAGGCAAACAAGTGTTCTGCAGTCACCCTGGGTGGGCCCAAGACAGACATTGCTAGTCACTTTTTCCTGCTAATCATACAGGGCTGGGCAGACCATTCATAACCCACCTTTAGAGACGTGCGTGTGAGAGCCAGCCTTTCCACGCGAGGTTTCGTTCTGGTCTTCCTAGTCTTAAGCCATTTCCCTCTCCAGTGCTCAGCCAAGTGGATGAGCTCGAAGGAACTGACGACAGCATGCTCTGTGATGATACCTGTGATGCTGTGAAGGGGAAGAAAATGGCTTATTTTGTCAGAAACAGAGGCTGGAACAATAATATACAGGGATTATCTTAAATCATTCAAATATATATGCACAGGAAAACACCTAGCAGAAATGTCACAAACAAAATGCATATATGTCATACCATGGGTCAAAGGAGTGGAATAAGATGGATTGTTTTAAAACTGTGGGAATCCGGAGAGTTACCAGATCCCAAGTCACTTGAATAGAGAGGGGAAGGCAGATAAGCTCTAGAGGAATCATTGTCAAGAGAACCCACCCCCATCTTCTCTAACTTCCAAGACTACCCCTAAACGGACATCAGACAGGAAACCTTCAACTCTAGAATAAAAACCAAAATCATCTCTCTCCTCCCTTTCTTCCTTCCCTTTCTTCTTTCTAGCTTTCCTACCTTCTTTCATCTCTCTCTTCTTTCATCTCTCCATCCTTCCAGTCCTCTTGTTTTCCCCAAACATAAAAGGTGCTCTGAGCTTTGCTTTCAGACCTGGGAAAATAAACCTGGGGTGATGATAAACCCTAGTCCCCACAGCAGATCTCTTTTGTCTTCTGCTTGAAATTTTTTGAAAATCTTTTGAGGAAGGGAAAACAAAACAAAACAAAAACAAAAACAAAAACAAAATGCTGGCAGCTCCAAAGAAAAGAGTTCAAATGCAAATGAGCGCTCAAGGTAGCACTTGGGTGTGAATGAGTTTCATTCTGAGAGTGCCAGTCACTCAGCCATCACAGATGATTGACACGAAATCAGGGGGCTCCTGGCACTGGGGTGGGGAGCCCCACTGAGAGGTGGGTGGGGTGGGGTGAGAAAGGTTAGGGGTAAGAAGGCACATTTCATGTCTTTCACAGTTTTCTGAGGCTCATCCCTTTTGATTTTATTTGGAAAATGAGTTGAGGCCACTCTATTTCTAGGATTTGTGAAGATTTGTTTTTAAATGTTGGCTTGTTACAGAATTTGCTCCCAGAGTGTTTTTGAAATAGAGGATCTTGTCTTCATCTCATGATTCTCTAAAAATAAAAACAAAAAACAAAACAAAACAAAACAAAAAAAACCTCAACCAGGGTTGACAGTCACCCCTCCTGGTCATTTAGCTAGATTGTGGTTGGACCCACTGTGGAATCCTGGGGAAGTCATCTGGGGTAATTCTAAGTTTTCACCTGCAGAGCTACATGTAACTCCACTAAAAATGAGCAGACCCCCCCTCACACTGTCAGGAGTCAAATTGATCTGTCTGTCAAGGCTGTCATATAAGTGGTTCTGCCAGCGCACTGAGATTTTCCTTTATAAGTGCTTGAAATATTAGAAAAGACTTGTGGATTGTTCCAGGAAGACTGCGACCCCTAGGCATCTTCCCCTCTCTTGGTCATCTTCTTTCTGAGCTGGTTTGGGCTTAGGTAATACACAGTGAAGCCAGAACCTTTCGAGCCCATCATAACTAGAAGGTGAAATGGAAGGTGTATCCCAGTTTTTTTTTTTAATAATTTCAGACTATCTACTATTTGAAATCTGAAACCTGCTTGTTTTTCTCAATTGTAAGTCCCTAAATATTTACCAACTGTTTTATTTTTGCAAGGCATATTAGAGACCCCAGGATGAATTATATGTGACCTCTGTTCTTCTATAGTTAAGTAGCTCAGAAAATGTAGTAGGTTGCCTCAGTGGTCCTCAAACCAGGCTCTTTTGCAGAAGGAATCTACTCTTGACACTAAAATAGAATAATCGTCTTCTCAGAGTTCACAAAATCAAATTAAGCAAATGCATCAAATTGTCTCAAGTGAAACCTTTTCTTTCCTGTGGTTTTCTTAAATGACCAGAACCTCTCTGAGTGCTGATAAGAAATTGATAAAACGAACTGAGTTTGCAACCACTGCAAGACTGGGCAGAAAGGAATTAATATTAACTACAGAGAGTTGTGTTTCTCCAAGTGGGAGTGGCACGTGAATGGGGCCATTTGATGGCGTTCTCCAACCAGGAACCCACTTTCATGTTGAACCCCAAGAAGGAATATGCCTCTTCCCCAAAATCAGTTTAGAAAGTACCTTCTCATTACCCAAAACAGGGGAATAAGAAGTACAATTTCCATGAAGACAATGCAAGTCTCAACAATTATAGGAAACCACTGTCATTCCCCTTTTATGGATGATGACAGTGAGGCACAGGAAGGTTGGGGGATCTCTTGGCACAAATCATGAGTGACAGGACCAGTGTGTGCACCCACGTACTGGGGAGTAAAATTAATCACACTCTGTTTGGAACAGCTTCTCACCCATCAGTGTGACTTAGAATTGCCCTAGGAACTTTTCCAAAATGCTTTTGCCTGGTCTCTACCCCTAGGGATTCTGATTTAATTGCGTAGGAGTAGATAAAATCATATTTTAGTAAAGAATGGGAGAGGAAAAGGAACACAGCTATCGAAAGAGACAATTTTTTTTTAATTTAAGGAAATAAAGCCTTCAGAAGATATCAACTGATTAAATACTCAGAATATAAACATCTTATTTTGGATAAGTGTATAAAAAGGGATAAAATCTTCTAATGAAGGCCCTGAAGTGAGAACAGGGTTTTTCCAGGAAGGACCAAATGAACATGTGGCACCAGCACAGCTTGGTCTGTAGAATGGCGACTAGACCAGACCAGCCAGTGACAGTTCTCCTGGATAACACTGAGTGACGTTCCCAAGTCTTATGACTGGAGACAGATCTCAGAAGAAAGTCACTGTACATTCCTTAGCACTCAGAGTCC